CTCTCCTGCCTCACCTCAGCCTTCCCCAGCCTCCCCGTGCCAAGCGCCGCCTCAGTTGGATGCACCATCAGGCTGCAGGGCCCACCTCGGCAGCCCACACTCACCCGTGTTGAAGCCACGTCCCAGGGCCGGCCACGGTTTGTGGTTTTTCCACAGGTTGCCCAAATACCAGTCGCTTTGGTTCTCCACCAGCCCAATCACCTGCTTGTCTGAGGAAACAGAGGGAGGTGGATGCAGCCCGTCTTGCTGTAGGTTCAGATGGCCCAAGCAAACCCACTGCGCTGGTGCTGTGGCAGATGGGGACTGCCACCCTGAGCCCAGCACCCAGGGCCCTGCCAGGGCCCCAGGGGCACCCTGTCCTCACCAGAAAACTTCCCAAAGACAGCCCAGAGCTCAGCGATGTCGGTGGCAAAGGTGATGTCGGTGTCCAAGACGATGACCTTGGAGAGGTTGGAGGGCAGCGCCTTGGTAAGCGTCAGCTTCATCAGCCCGTAGATGCCGGAGTAGTGCTTGTTGGGGATCCACGACACCTCCGGCTGCAAGACGACATGGCCTCAGGGCTGGGCACGGCCATGCCCTTCCCCTGCCCGGGCGGGACGGCGGTGTGTGCCCGCACCCCGTGCAGAGGAAGCCAGCAGAGGGGCACAACAGAGCTGTGGAGCCCCAGCCGAGCCTGGAGCATCTCCTCCAGCGGCACCACCGCCAGCCACACACCTCTCTGCCCTTCAGGAGAGGGGTGTGTGGCCCTTCAGGCGCTCGCTGGCTGCATCTCCTTCTCCTTTGCTCTCACCTCTTCCTCCAGCCACCAGAACCCCCCACCTGAACCCCAGTGTTTCAGTGCTCGGTGGGGGACCCAGCTCCGCCGCAGAGGCAGCGCTACCCCAAGGGGCCTCCCCACCCCTCCAGCACCAGCCCTGTGCCCCCCTTCTCAGCTGGACCAGCAACAAGAAAGGGGAGAAGGTGAGCGAGGGACCAGCAGGAAAAGAGTTAATAAACCCCCTCCCGCTCGCCCCTCTCTGCTGCTCCCCTTGGCCCTCCGAGGTTGGGACAGGGCAAAGCGGGGGGAAGTGCCTGCCTTCAAGTC